ATATAGGCTGCAGACTTTTTTTGTCATTAATGAGTTGGTGCGCATTTAAAACAGGTCTCTACAGGAATAAGTGAGACTGCATTTATTATAGTATATAGTTACCATACAGTAAAAAATACCTCATCATGTAATCAAAACTATAGTGCTGTATAGTAAAACAAATGAAATGTTAGTACAAGTGTGATGTGCGTGTTGTAAATGTGTCCAGATGTTTTAAAGGCTTCTGTTCAAGTCTGTACTGAGTCGGGACTGTCTGGCCCCCACAGGGTGCTGTTCAGGTGAAACTGGAGCTGGGCCACCGGGCCCAGGTCAGGAAGAAGCCCACGGTGGAAGGCTTCACCCACGACTGGATGGTGTTCGTGCGGGGCCCGGAGCACAGCAACATCCAGCACTTTGTGGAGAAAGTTGTTTTTCACCTGCACGAGAGCTTCCCCAAACCCAAACGAGGTAAGGAGACCTGCAGGGACCTGCAGGGTCCTGCAGGGTCCTGCAGGGACCCCCTGCTTGTCCCGGTGCCGGGTCAGGTTGGAGTCTGAAGCTCACCCTGACGGCGAGCGCTGACCTGCTGGGGGTGTTCAAGGAGATTATTTGAGCAACTTGGCAAAGAAAAGGCTCTATTACAGGATGTGTTTGTAAAGTGATGGTTTTGTGTGGGACTGCATGATGCCGGGGTTAGACGCTCAGCTGGGGGGGCCTGTCAGCGTGAAGTTTACATGTTCTCCCAGTTCCATCTGTGGGTTGCCTCCCACAGTCAAACATGCATGTCAGGTGTTAGAAGTTAGCCACGGTGTGTGTTTGATTTAGGTACCTTTTAGGACAATTTTTCATTTCACATCAACTTGTCCGGACCCACTGCTACTCTGTGAGACCAAAACCTGGTCTTCATGTGTTCAAACACCGTTTCAGGGTCAGGGACAGACATGATGGGAGTAAAGACGTGGTCCTCATGAAGATGCATAAATCAACGTGTGTGTGCATGGATGGTTGTTTGTTTATGTGGGCCGGTGATGGACTGGTGTTCCGTCCAGGGTGTACCCCCCTCCTCACCCCGGGACAAACTGGATGGATGGTTCTGTAAAACTGAGGCTGACAATCAAGATTTAAAGGGACAGTCTGGTCATTTTTCAAGTGATGCTCTGTCAAATATGTTATAAATGTGTTGGTACATTATGAGTCATAATATGAGACAGAGAGCAAGGAGTGTGGAGAAAGAGGCAAAAGTCTTCATCCAGGCTAGGCTAACGGTTAGCCAGTCAAGGGCCTGTTTTATATTAGCGGTACATCGATGTCTCTGAGGGATTTGAACAGTGAATGTTTGTAGTTTTGGAGATGAGTGTTTTTCTGGACTGGAGCTGAACCATCTTTCAACCACTTACTTACACAACCATGTTGAACCATATAACCAGGTTACATGGGTAACCATGTTCAGGCTGCTGTTTAATACACTGTATTATTTTACATTATTAGAGTTTAGCGTTTAGCTTAGATCTTTTAGGGCATTGTTTAGTGTATATCTTAGATCCTTATATACTGTTTCTTTTTATACTTTATATTTTTGCTATTGCTGGATGTAACTGGGATCCTGTGTACACAGTTTCATTCCACCTCATGTACCACATGCGATGCGAATGACACTAAAGAGCCGTGAAGCTTGAACAGAGAATGCAAGTAAACCTTAATGTTTTTTGCTGCTAGATAGTCAAGTGGGTGCACTGGAGCAGAACAGAGTTGTTTTTTGTTTGTTTGAGGCAGTGCAGTGACAGATCTTAGAGAGTGGAGGGAGACAGTTTATCCACCACCACGTGCAGTGGTGGAGCCAGAGGGTGGCCAATGGTGGCCTTGACCACCATAAATTAATCTTCAGACACCCCAATCATTTGAGGAAACTAGACTCTTAAGCAATATAAAGACAAGAAAGGATAGTTTCCTGAAACATAGGGGTGGCCAGTTTACATAAATAGGGCGGTGGCCATATTGGATTTTCATGTGGCAACCCAGTTTTCAATAGTGACCTTTATTACACCTAGATGCAACCAGAGACCAAAATGGAAGTTGTTACCTCACTTATTTTTCAAGTTATCATGCACAAATGTACACACAGATGGATGAAGGGTCCCCCTCTTCTTTTTGCAATGAGGGACTAGAGGATGACATTTTTTCGGGAGTACCGCGGGTCACGTGATTCCGGCCGGATTCCGGCGGGACCGGAGTCAACCTCATTATAACTCACGTGACCGGACTGAAAGCTAACGGGAGCAGACAAGAGCGGGAACCGACCAATAACCAAAAATGAAAATGAAACAAACAAAAAAAAAAAAAAACCACAGGCGCAGCTATTTTGTAGTTTTCTTTCAGTAAGCATTCACTTTAACACAAGTCAAAAGAACTACATTGCCCAGAAGTCATCTATTCGAGTCGTAGCTTTTCACCGAGAGGGTTGGGAGGAACAGCGAAGCAGTACCGAGTAACTGAAAATAGTTTGTAACACAAGGTATGAAGTAAGTGTCTGTCTATTAAACTCACAGAACGGGCAGGAAAGTGTCAAATAACCCTGAACTTCATGAGAGTTGTGTTGATGCTGTGCTGATTGAAAAGTTTAGTCTCAGCTGCAGCTGCGGGGAGTCGGACTTTCTTTACCGTCAGTAAATGAACAGACTCAAACAGCACATTTTTCTCCACCTTATCCCTTTCAATTTAAAAATTATCCTCTGCTTTGTTATGTGGGTTTTTAGGTTAGTCTGTTGGAGTCAGTCTCCCCACCATCACAGACATTTACACCTCTAGATGCAGGAAGAGGACCACCTGCATCATGAAGGACCCCACTCACCCAGCACACACACTTTATGCCCCGCTCCCCTCAGGAAGGAGGTTGAGGAGCATTAAATGTAGAACCACTAGACTGAGGAACAGCTTCTACTCTGAGGCTGTTAGACTCATGAATCTCTAACCAGAATAATCACTGTGAAAAAAATCACATCATGCTGCTGATCTGTTTCATGTTGCTGCTGATCTGTTTCATGTTGCTGCTGATCTGTTTCATGTTGATGTGTTCATGCGTGCACACCTGCTCACACAGACTCATGTTTGTGCTGCTGTTCGGCGTAATGTTTTTATGCTATTAGTGCTTAGTGTATTTTTAGTTGATGTTTTTCTTAGTTCATATCTTAGATGTTATTGCTGTTTTTCTTTTACATTTTATTGTTGGATGTAACTGGGACCCTGTGTACACAATTTCGTTCCACCACATGTACCACATGGGGCGCGAATGACAAATAAAGAACCTTGAATCGAATCCTTGAATTGAATCCTTGCTATATTTTCTACTAATTACATTTCAGCCATAATAACTGACAACTAATGAAAACACCAAATTTCAGAATCTCAGAAAATTAGAATATTACTTAAGGCCAATATATATATATAAAAAAAAGATTTTTAGAAATGTTGACCAACTGAAAAGTATGAACATGAAAATATGAGCATGTACAGCATCAATACTTAGTTGTTGCTCCTTTTGCGTGGATTACTGCAGCAATGCAGCGTGGCATGGAGTGGATCAGTCTGTTTTTCTGCTCAGATGTTATGAGTCCAGGTTGCTCTGATAGTGGCCTTCAGCTTTTCTGAATTGTTGGGTCTGGTGTATCACATCTTCCTCTTCACATATACCATAGATTTTCTATGAGGTTTAGGTCAGGTGAGTTTGCTGGCCAATTAAGAACAGCGACACCATGGTCTTTAAACCAGGTACTGGTAGCTTTGGCACTGTGTGCTGGTGCCAAGTCCTGTTGGAAAATGAAATCTGCATCTCCATAAAGTTGGTCAGCAGCAGGAAGCATGAAGTCTCTAAAACTTCCTGGTATACGGCTGCATTGACCTTGGACCTCAGAAAGCATAGAGGACCAACACCAGCAGATGACACGGCACTCCAAACCGTCACTGACTGTGGAAACTTGACACTAGACCTCAAGCAACATGGATTCTGTCTCTCCTCTTTTCATCCAGACTTGGGGACCTTGATTTCCAAAGGAAATGCAAAATTTACTTTAATCAGAGAACATAACTTTGAACCACTCAGCAGCAGTCCAGTCCTTTTTGTCTTTAGCCTAGAGTTACATTCGTGTCCAAAAAATCTGATCCGACCCGGCCCCAGCCCGCAGTCATAATTTCCAAACCCCACCCAACCCGATGAATTAACAGTAATTACAGGTCCGAACCCAGAAAAAAAACGACATTTTAAATGAGTTAATAACGGTCGGGGATGCGCAGCTGAATAAAAGGGGCAGATGATTCGGAGCTGAGAGGTGTTTGTACTTTCATGGCCATAAAAAAGCATTTAAACCCTGTTTCTATCTGCCTTCTTCTGAATTACTGAGACACACAGACAGCTCTGACACACACGTCTGCTTTGGGATCTCACCTGTTTGGGACGTCAGCCACACACGTCCGCTGAGTATGAACGCAGAATGAACGTCCATTTGGGCGATGGATTGCTGCCTGGCAGTACAGTCCCATCTGAAGCTTAACTGAACTTTTTACTTCTTTCAAGACCAGTCAGCTCGCGGTGAAATGGCCGCGTGCGGCTGGTGGAATTATGGTAGGCCATGTTATCATATAATTGGATCGCGACTGATCCTGACCTAATTAAAAGCCCAAGACCGGCCCAGCCCGCCCATGAACAACATTATAACGGCCCGGCCCTAATCCGGGTCAGTATGGGCCGGGTTTCGGGTTAGAAATGACAGCTCTATTTTAGCTCATGCGAGACACTTCTGACACTGTCTCTTGTTCAAGAGTGGCTTGACACAAGGGATGCGACAACTGAAACCCATGTCTTGCATACGTCTGTGCGTGGTGGTTCTCGAAGCACTGACTCCAGCTGCAGTCCACTCTTTGTGAATCTCAACTATATTTTGGAATGGGTTTTGCTTCACCATCCTCTCCAGGGTGCGGTTATCCCTATTGCTTGTACACTTTTTTCTACCACATCGTTTCATTCCCTTCGCCTCTCTGTTAATGTGCTTGGACACAGAGCTCTGTGAACAGCCAGCCTCTTTAGCAATGACCTTTTGTGTCTTACCCTCCTTGTGCAAGGTGTCAATGGTCGTCTTTTGGACAACTGTCAAGTCAGCAGTCTTCCCCATGATTGTGTAGCCTACAGAACTACTCAGGGACAATTTAAAGGCCTTTGCAGGTGTTTTGAGTTAATTAGCTGATTAGAGTGTAACACCAGGTGTCTTCAATATTGAAACTTTTCACAATATTTTACTTTTCTGAGATACTGAATTTGGGATTTTCATTAGTTGTCAGTTCTAATCATCAACATTAAAATAAATAAGCATTTGAAATATATCAGTCTGTGTGTAATGAATGAATATAATATACAAGTTTCACTTTTTGAATGGAATTACTGAAATAAATAAACTTTTTCATGATTTTCTAATTTTATG